CCGCCCCAAGCCCGCGGGCGCAGCTGCCGACCCAGGACAGACCGGCAGCGCGCCCAAGGACATGCTGCGGCAGGTCCCGAAAGCCTGGAGCAAGGAGACTCGCGAGTGCTGCAGACATCACCAGCACCCTGGCATGGACACCCCGGCGCACCTCCTGCAGGCGGCCCCGCCAGGCCAGCCCCTTAGAAGCGCCGTGGTACATGCGGGCGGGCTGCCCATGGACTCCGCGAAGGCCCGGTCTCTCCTGGTAATCATTATGCTCATGATCAGAGCCCAGGGTGCTCCCGTGGCAGTTTCCCCACGCTGAGGGCGCAGGAGATGCGATCGAAGCGATGCTAGGCATTTGCGTTCCCTGGCAAGACGCTCACCTGGACTGAACTTCGCTGAGACGTGGGGGCCCTCCCTGGGCGACCTGGTCGTGCTGCGCGGGCGGATCGAGGGCGCGCTCCTCCACGTCTCCAGGCTAGTCGCCGTCTTGCGCCGCCGTGGCGCAGCCGAAGAGGCCCGCTGCCGACGGACTCGTAAGGACATGGAAGAAAACGACTTCAAGCTGGCTGTGCCGATAATAGTCTTGGAGCAGATCGTCCCCGCAGCGAACGTCGAGACCCTGGCCAACGCGAAGTGCGCCATCTGCGCCCTTCACCGCGAGCTGGCTGTCTCGGACACTGACTGGGCTAGGAGATCCGGGCGACATCTCCGCCCTGGGATACATCGGTGGAAGCGCGGCCCTTTCGAAGAAGGGCCTTGGGCTGGCGTGCAGCTGGCCCCCCGGGTCATCCAGGATGGCCGACTGTGTGGTCGCCGAGAGGAGGCAAAGTTCACCTGTGACGACTGCAACAAGAGTCACCTCGAGTCCACCGATGGGACTTGGGAAGACGACGAGACTAGGGAACTCCTGGCGCAGAACCGCCACAGGCGCACCTCGCTGGTAAGAACTGCAGGTGGCTCTGTGAGAGCTGCTGGGTCGCCAGCGTGGAGAGACGAGGGATCTACGCCACGCTGGGTGCCGACGCGGCGCAGCGTGTCCAAGACTGCAACAATGGCCTGGCGGAGGGCAGGGAGCAGAGGAAGGCGGGTGCACTTCCCTCCCTTGCGCACCTCCCGCTCGGGTACGGTAGAAGCCCGTGCGCCGGTGATCCTGGCTCCCTAAAGGACCTCGTCATGGTCGCAGCGAACCGCCGCTGCCCCGCCCTGGCCAACCCGACCTTACCAGCCTGGAGGATCAACGGCGGAAGGCTCGACGGAAACGCTCGCAAGTCCGGCACCTACTCGGCGAAGTGTGACGCGTGCCCGCCAGATTCTCCTCTCCTCGCGTGGAAGGTATCGTATCCCGCCCTAGGCTGCTTCCTGTGGAAGCCGGCGCCTGGCGCCGGCATCGACGATTGTACAGGGCTCTTCTCATGGGGCCAGTGTCTGACCGCTTGGCAGGGGCGAAAATTGAACGCTGCAAGGTGCTGCAGGAGGTGCCTCGTCTACATATGGAACGTCGCGCCGGGCACCTTGGACCGCATCCTGGACCGCGACTCCAAGAAGGTCCACCCAGCAAACCCTAAACCAAAAGGCCGCATCAAGGCACGGAGGACTACGGCGCCCAAAACGTTGCCGACCAGCTGCGCCAAGGGCTCCCCAACGCCACCGTCGAGGACGAATGAGCGCGGAGCTTCCGGGGCGGCGCCTGCGTTCCCGCGGGCGAAAGCGACGGGGGGGCGCCCGGGATCAGGGCGGCACCAGACCTGCTCGCTCTCCTCCCTGGGCTACACCCGCCATGGTGCCCGCAGCTCAGCTCGCGATCAGTTGCTGCCTGCACCTGGCAACTGACGACGAGCAGAAACACAGTCGGACCAACGAGCTCCGCGAGGTAAAGCACCTCCTCGTCGCCTACCTCCGCGACTTCCACCCGGCCGTCGACGCGTGCTGGCGGGATTGGATTGCGCGACAGCTGAGGGCGCATCCATCCCCGAGCCAAAGGATCATGGGACCCCCTGGCCGGCAAACCGCTTGGTCCAGTTCCTGGCCAGGATGCATGGCCACGAGGTTCCAGCAAATGTCTCGCCGACGCTCGTCAACTGGGGCGGCAAGCGCTGGGCGGCCGCCAGAGTGGCGACGCACCTCGCCAACGGCCCTCGACGCAACGAAGCCTGGCAGCGGCACTTTGCCTCCCTGGCCCGAAGCAAGGGGCCCGGCCCAGTCCGGCATGAGCTCCCAGTACTCGCTAGCTTCCTGTTGGGCCTCGACGCGAGCGCCCGGGTAGCCACCGTCAAACCTGGCGTGCCATGGCCCAGTGACAAGCTCGGACGGCGAGGTGCCTCCGCAGACAGCAGCAGTTGCGGGGACAGGGACATGGCTCGCTCCTGTGCTAGAGGTCGGCAAGTCAGCCCGAAGCCGGCATGCAGCCCACGACCCTGGCGGGGGCGGCCCAGCGTCGCCTTCTGGACGCGTTGACCTGGCCCCGAGCGGCGCCCCAGGGGCGGGGCCGCCGCCCCCCCGCGGCCTGCTGGAGGACCGCGCGGCCGGCGACGCACCCGCAGACTCGGCCAGGGGCGACGAAGAGGAGCTCGACCGACCAGGTGCCGCAGCCGACGCCGAGGTACACGACGGCGCCAGCGGCACTATCACGAAAGGGGATCTCTCGGTGGATTTCGACGGCCCGCGACCAGCGTCCCCAGCAGAGTCGCCGAGCGAGCGCGCAGAGGCGAGCGAAGGTTCCCAGCGGCCTGGCAACTCGTTTAACCTTCGCTCGAGTACAGCCACGAGGACAAAGATGAGGACGCCGCAGAAGCTAGCTCAAGCCCTGGCTACGATCCTCTTGGTGCCTTCCGGCCGAACGACCCGCCTGCGCCTTTATAGCTGCAGGTGCTGTGGCGGCCGCTAGTTCCAGAGGTGATCCGCCCCCGCCGAGATGCGGCAATGCCATCGGTGATAGTGGCGAGCCCGGCACCCGGGCTGATAACAGGCACGCAGCGCCTCCTGTCTCCGACAGCAGCAGGCGCCCCAGCAGCGCACGAAGGGCCTTCGACGATCTCCTGGATCCCGTTGCAGGCGAGTGCATGTACCGTGAGTGCCTGGGCAACGTCAGCCTGCGTCGCCGCGGACAGGGCCCAGCCGAGAAGATCGCGCGCCTCCAGAAACTTCTAGGTGGCGCGTTCAACGGGATCTGGCACGGCTACACGCAGCAGCGCCCTATCCGCGCCAAAGGGAAGTCCAAAAGCAACCCCCTCCTGAACGACGAGTCCACGGGCGCGGGCTTCCTTGACGCCTGGCGCGGATGCGGCTTCGACGCCTGCGCGATGAATCGGCAGCTGGGGCTCAAAGTCGACTGGCCTGCCATGCGCGCATCGGGGCGACCGCTGGCCAGGGGTCCCATCAGTCAAAGGGGTGGAGCTCCGGCTCCCAGCGCCAGTCTTGGGATCCCTGGGAGGGGTGGTCCCGGCACGGCTCGGGGCAGTCCTGGCGCGACCATGACTGGCGTGGCGGAGGCAGGAGAGACAGACCAAACAGCGACGGTGCAGACCACGACGGCAAGCGGTCCAAGTGGACGTGTCCTTCCCTGGCACTGTCGCTGGATGCGTCAGAAACGTCACCAGAAGGCGCGGCCGTTAGCCAGACACGATAGACCAGAAAGTGTGGCCGTTAGCCACCTCAGTGCCAACCCCCACTTCCTGGTATCACGTTCAGCGTTTCCCCTCCTTCCCCCCTCTTCTTTGCGCCGATGCCGACTGACAGTGTGGTTAGCCACTTGCGTTTCTTGGCGCCGCCTACCCCCCGCCTCTCCTCTTCCGCCGACCGGTGGCGGCCCCTGCACTGCGCCTGGCTTCGCCCCCGCCTTTGGGGATCAGGCTCCAAGGCGCTGTCAATACCTGGCGCGATGCCCCTTGCTGGGGGCGGGGCGCAGCGTGCCACCGCGCGGCCCTGGCCGTTTGCTGTAGCTGTTTTCACGTTGGCCTTCTCCCACACCGGGCCAGAGCCTGGCTTGGCATCCCTGGTGAGTTGGCCCCCTGCCGACCCGTGACGGTCCCTGCGCTGCGTCTGGATTCGCCCCCCGCCCTTGGGGATCAGGCTCCACGGCGCTGTCAATACCTGGCGCGATGCCCCCTGCTGGGCGAGGCGCAGCGTGCCGTCGCGCGGCCCTGGCCGGTTGCTGTAACTGTTTTCGCCTTGGCCTTCTCCCGCACCCGGCCACAGCCTGGCCTGGTATCCCTGGTGAGCTGGCCCCCCCCTTCGTGACGCCACTCGACTCACGCATGCCGCGCCGCTAGCACTTGGCCCAGGGAGTTCTCAGCCTTCAGCTGCTGGCTGCGCCGCCCCTCTTGGCGCCGTCTGGCCCCCCCACCGCTGCCGCCCTGCCGCCGACCGCGGCCTGCTTGCGGCTCCCGGGGTTTCGCCTTCAGTCCCTGGCGTCTGTTGGTGTCCGTGCTGGCTCCTTTGAGCCTGGCGAGGTAACCCTGGCGTCCAGGTGACTTGCGTGTCGACCAGCTCCAGCTAGCATGCTCGCATGTTCCTGGCCCCTGGTCCCCAGACGCTGCCACAGCCTAGCCGTGTTTGCAGCTGCCGCCTTGCAATGGCCGCGTGGGTTGCTCATGAGTGGTTTAGCCTTCTTGTTCAACTACCTGAGCTTGCCGCTGGTGGCATGCGACGCAGCTGCGCTGGGCTGCTTGATCCAGCCCCACGCAATGCCGTGCTTTGCTCGGGTGGCTCGTTTACCTCTGGCGCCTGGCGCGACAAGGTACAATTTGTTTGCCTTCCCGGTGGTCTCGCCCCTGGAATGGTTGCACTTCGGCCGTCTGGCACACCTGGCACCTCTTGCAGCTCTGCCTTCAGTCCCCGGCGTCGCTCCTCGGTGTCGCTCGGCGGCAGTTTCGGCGGCCGTTAGTTCGCGCGCTTAGGTAATTAGGTTTGGCTCTTAGCCCAGGCTGACTTCGGACGCCGCCTGCGCTTCCGCTTGCGGCCGCGATGGAAAAAAGGCTCCGCCGGCCCATGTGGGAATTGTGACCGTGAGAGCTGTCTGGAGGAGGAGCGTAGGTAAGCCTGTATGGAAGCAGGGGCGTGAACACTGTGAGTTAACAAAAACCTTCGTCTGCCTCTTGGGGCTATCTGGGGGCTGGAGGGGAATTTTTGCAAGGCTTCTGGACCCTCTTGGGGCTGTCCTGGGGCCTTCTTGGGGTCGGAGGGCCTCTTGGGGCAATCTTAGAGGCCACCTGTCCAACGCATGGGGTGCTCGAGGCCGTCTTGGATCCATGCTGGGGGGTTTTGGGCGCTCCAACCAGTTCCCCCCCCGTCCAGACCCAGGGCAGGAAGTAGAGGGAGGGGTTAGCCCGTCACCAGATCAGCGGACATATTTTTGTGTGGAGAAGCGAATTCGTATATTACATTACCTTTGCCTACAGGGAAGGCAGGATTATATCAGCCAGTGCGTTTCTGACCCGTACGACCAGACGAAGTACACGGTACGTAGCACCCAGCAGATGCGGATAAGAGTCAGGGGGCGGTGGGGAGGGACGTCGGCGGTTTGCGAGACTCTGGAGAAGCCCGCCGCAGGCGCCAACGTTTCACAAATTATACAACGAGCCAGCGAGCCCGCCGCAACCGCAGACTTTTTCGTCAAACCAATGTGGGTCGGTCGCGGGTGGGTCGCGGGTGGGTCGCAATGGGTCGCGGGTGGGTCGCGGGTGGGCTGCTGTTGGGTCGCGGGTGGGTCGCGGGTGAATAGGCAGAAAGTCCACCCCATAATCATCACCCCAACAAGCGAAACCGTTTAGTAAACGCACACTGGGAATGAATCGAAAAGGGCAGGGCTGTTTCGTAAACGCCCAGGGCCGTTCAGTAAACTTCAATTGTCGGGTCCGGGTGGTTTTTCATCAATTGAGGGTGGGTCGCGGGGTGGGTCGCGGGTGGGTCGCGGGGTGGGTCGCGGGGTGGGTCGCGGGGTGGGTCGCGGGTGGGACGACGACAACCAACAACAACATCATCAACAACAACAACAGCACCAACGACAACAGCACCAACAACAACAATACTAACAACAACAACAGCAGCAACAACAGTAGCAGCAACAGCAACACCAACAACAGCAGCAACAACACCAATCACAACAACAATAACAACACCCAACAGCAACAACAACAACAACCACAGCAAGAACAACAACGCAACAAACAGAATTCTCACGATGAATTCCTTATTCAGCCACGCACCCGGAGTCAATGAATGACCGTGCGTCCCCCTCACTCTTGATTAACTAGCCGCTGCCAAGTAGTGACTCCTTTGTTGTTGAGTGCGTCGACTAATGCGGGTATTCCTGCTTGTGCAGCCAGAAAACTTTTGTTATCGCCTCGGCCAATGCTTGCCATAACCACTCTGGCTGCCAGGACCAGAGCTACTCTCACCACGAGCATTGCGCACACTATGCTACAGCCAGCGCCACCACCAGTACTACTACTACTACCACCACTACTATTACTACTACTACTACTACTACTACTACTACTACTACTACTACTACTACTACTACTACTACTACTACTACTACTACTACTGCTACTGCTACTGCTACTCTACTACTACTCCTACTCCTACTCCTACTCTACTACTACTACTACTACTACTATTATTATTACTACTACTACTACTACTACTACTACTCTACTACTACTACTACTACTACTACTACTACTACTACTACTACTACTACTACTACTTACTACTACTACTACTACTATTACTACTATTACTATTACTATTATTATTACTACTACTATTACTATTACTACCATTACTATTACTATTACTATTTACTATTACCTATTACTATTACTACTTACTATTACTATTACTATTACTATTACTATTACTATTACTATTACTATTACTATTACTATTACTATTACTATTACTATTACTATTATTACTATTACTATTACTATTACTATTACTATACTACTATTACTATTACTATTACTATTACTATTACTATTACTATTACTATACTATTACTATTACTATTACTATTACTATTACTATTACTATTACTATTACTATTACTAGTACTATTACTATTACTATTACTATTACTATTACTATTACTATTACTATTACTATTACTATTACTATTACTATTACTATTACTATTACTATTACTATTACTATTACTATTACTATTCCTATTCCTATTCCTATTACTATTACTATTAGTATTAGTATTAGTATTAGTATTAGTATTAGTATTAGTATTACTATTACTATTACTATTACTATTACTATTACTATCACTATCACTACTACTACTACTACTATTACTACTACCACCACTACTGCTACTACTGCTACTACTTCACTATTACTATCACTCTTGCTGCTGCTGCTACTACTACTACTACGACGACGGCTACGACTACAACAACTACTTTTATTGCTTCTTTTACCTATACTATTACTACTGCTGCTACTACTACTACTACTACAAATACTGCTAGTACTACCATTATTACCGCTACTACTGCTACGGCTACGACTGCTACTATTACTTTTACTACTACTACTACTGCTACTACCACTACCACCACTACTACTACTACTGCTACTACTACTACTACTACTACTCCTCCTCCTACTTCTACAACTACGACTGCTGCTACTACTACTACTACTACTACTACTACTACTACTACTACTACTACTACTACTACTACTACTACTACTACTACTACTACCTACTGTACTACTACTACTACTACTACTACTACTACTACTACTACTACTACCTACTACTACTACTACTACTACTACTACTACTACTACTACTACTACTACTACTACTACTACTACTACTACTACTACTACTACTACTACTACTACTACTACTACTACTACTACTAC